TTCCTTGTTTCTTAGGAACAAGAAACATATTTTAGGAATGAGCTATCATCCTATAGCTTGTAATGAAATAGTTAAATGGCATACATAAAATTCCAATAAGCTATCTTTCATACATCAGTTTAGGAAAAAGCATTGAGTTATGGGCAATCATAACCCATGAGAAACACTTGGACTTCAAAAAGTTGCATTGATGTAATAAAGAGCATGACTAAGCTGTTGTTTAACATGACATGCACTGTGAGTCATTCTGGGCAGAGTACCTAGCTCTGGTGCCCCAAACAAGGTTCATATAATCAACAACACATATTCTGCAACATCACCAAGTTGAGATAATATTCTCTAACATTTTAAAGGAGTTACATACCATTAATGTAATCTTAGAAAGATATAAAGCAAAATATAGAACATTAATTTTAATTGATTTTTATTACAACTTTAAGTATATTTTTAAAAATGGAGTTTGACTTATTGTGATATTTTTTTCCTGTTTTAAAGCACTTGAAGCTTATTATGTGAGATTTTATTGAAATGTTTAGAAGAATTTGACTAAGATTCTAATCAATGTTTAAATGGTTGAATCTGATTTATTAAATTTACAAGTTTTGCCTTATTAGCTGTTTAAATGGTGTACAAATATTTAGAGAAATTGCATGTATTAGAGTTGTATGTTTAACAAATTGGGCATTAAACAAAGAATAAATAGCAGCAAGCATTGTATTTCATGCACCAAAGTCTCTCAGGCAAAAACATTTAGAGATGCCTAGTTAGGACTACACATATGGTAGGTGATTTTTTTCCTAAGTTACCTGGCTCTTTCCAAAAGGGGAACTGTTTATTTTTCTTCCATATTTTTTTCTTGTTTAGTGATAACTGCTTCAGATGTGGTTTCTGTGGCTTCTCCTAGCCCCTGCTACTATTCACACTAAATTGAAGATATTCTAAGGAGAATACAGGAATTATAGGTCAAGGTTAGCTTTTAGACAATGCAACAACTCCACCAAACTTGGATAGTCAGAAGCTGCATGTTCTTAAGGATACTTTAGCAAGTCATGCTGTAATTAACCTAAGTTATCATACAACTAAAAGTTCCTGGGGCTTCCACTGCAGCTTCTAGGTTGAGGAAGAAAACTTTTTATATGCAACACAATTTGACCACGTTCCTCCATGATCATCACAGTCTAAGCTCTTTAGATTAAGTACAAGTTATAGACTGGAAATACAGGAAGACTCATGTGGTGGAAGTTTCCATCATAGCAGCACGATCTGAAAGAATGTAGGTTCAAAAGGACCCCAATTTGTGGAAGTGGCTGTGGTGATGGTAGCAGATAGCTGAAGCAGTGAAAGAAGAGAGGTTTTGGAGCTTTTCCTGTGGTAATATGAGGATGTTAATAACTGCATTTTGCTCTGGTCTACGTTAAGGAGCACTGCTTTGCCTTCTGTTGCTTCAGACTGGCTTGCCATTGTAATTCTGAGACTAAAGATTTCCTTAGCTGTTTGGCAGCTGACCTAGGTCCAGCATCCTCTACAGCTTGTATATTTTAGACCAGTGAACACAGAGCTTGATGAAGATTGCTACTCAAAGGAACTTAATTTAGCTTTCATCTCATCTTATGGAAGTGAGATATAAAATACAAAAGACAGGTGATATGCTCGTCTTATTATCTTGACTTCTGGGATTGGTCTCGCCTGACCTCACTATGCCGTGTTTGCCCTGATGTAGAAAATTGCAGTTTCTACTCCGATTTACTCTCATGTCTATGCTGTGACCAGCTCTAGTTCCCAATATGGCTGCACTATGGGCCCTCTATTCTTGGTACCCTGGATTCGCATGTTCAAATACATGCTTTCATGGTGCAGTTGAAAGAAAGAGCTCCCAAACAGATAGCACCAGGAAAATAAGACCACTCTCAGCCCCAATTTTGATCTTTAAAGATGACATTAACTCTGAAATGTTTGGAATTTTTGCTCAATCATAGATAACTCCTTTTAGTTCTTGGCTATTTCCAGGGGCTACAAATAAATAAATAAAAATTAAATAAATAAGTAAATAAATACATAAATAACAATAGTGACAATAATAACTATAACCCTAAAAGAGATGATATATAGTAGAGGGGTTAAGCACTCAACCCAGAAAGCCTGTGTTTAATTCTCAGGTCCACTACTTACAAGCTGTATGACCTTGGGCCAGTTAAGTAACCTCTCTGTGCTTTTTAAAAAAATCTGTAAAGTAGGGTTAATAGCACCTCTGTCACATGGGTGTCATGGAACTTACATGGGTGTGGGAACCTGCCTGATACATGGTAAGTGTCCAGTAAATGTTAGCTAATTATTAAAAGCTATTGAAGATGGACCATATGGTAATTTACATGTTACAAATGGTCTTTTAGTTTAGGTGATAAAGAGTAAAAAAAGATTTAAATAATCTATTATTTGAATGACTCTCGCTTCCATTTTTCTTTGTACTGTGTCCAGTAAGTTTGGTATACTTTAACAGCAACCACCTTGCCCATAGAAGCAAAATACTCTGTAGTTAGTTCTATTATACCAATTTCATGAGTATTCAGCTTCTTAGCCCAGAATACCAATTGTGTAAAAAGCACAATGAATTCCAATGCACTTTTGATTGCAATGATCTGAACCAAACACAAAACATAGTTGATCCGAGATGATTTAGGCTTTAGAATGTTGTGCATTACGTGATATGCACGCCCAAAACAGGAGTATCTTTGAATTTAACATATTTTCCTTCTCAGAAAACAGAATTCTTTTAATTAAAAACATTTTTAAAAAGTTCAGTATGTGTAATTGTTAACACCTGCTATGTGTTACCAACAGATGTTTCTTACTTACCTAAGGGAACTGTTATAATTATAGTATAAGCTTATTGGAATGGCATTTACCAAGATAGTTGGGAAAGTTTAGTTGGTGACTTTGTATTTAATATTTGGTATTTCTTTAAATCCCTTCCCCTATTGCTATAAATCCCCACAAACCCACCCCAACCCAGCCTACCAAAATCAAAAACATCCTTTTGGGGTACCCAAATGTTTACAAACTGGCAATAATTATGCATATTTTATTCTTCATAAAAAGTTACTGAAATTAAATCATGTGAATACTAAAGCATTGTAAAATTTACTTTTAATTGTTTTAGCAGCTAATCTGTACAGTGTTCAACATGGAAGTCCTAAATCTTGATTATAAAAGTAAAACTATACCTTTTAAAAATATAATACCCTTCTAATAGCTTGGCTTTAAAGGAATCAATAGTAAAGAGTTTATTTTTCTGACCATTGATAAGGTCTTATAAGCAGTGGGATTTTTGAATTTTTCATTTATGATACTAATCACACAATTACCTACAGATGTGTTAAATATGTCACTGGTTTCAGCCAAATAATGGGCCAATTGCAAACAATGAGTAAAGAGAGGCTGCTCCATTTATAATCACTTGTTTCAACAGAGCTCTACTGTAATCATAGTGATCTGAGAGTGACTCATTAATTAATTGATGTTCTTTTTTTTATTATGTGCTATTGAGTTAATGAGTAATTTGTGTGAGATAATTTTCTGAACACATTTGATTACCTGAGGTATTTTCTGGGGCTTTCCTATCAATGACATGCTGAATAGATGAAGGTGGTATTCACTTTTGTGTGGTCATTATTAGCAAGTTGAAGGTGAGTATAAACCAATGCAGAGACACGTCAAAGTTGTCTGATATATGAAGTACTCTTAAGTCTACCCAATAGTAGGCTGGATGCTCAGGGCAAGTCCTGTTACATAGTAAGCACTCAATAAATGTCAATTGAAATAATGGCTGTATCAAACCTTTGCTTTCTATTACCTTAAATTGCATTAAAATCACATTTAAAAACTACCTATAATGATGTTTTTAAGAAAAAATAATGATAAAAAAAAGGCTTTTGCTAAAATTGTATTCTGCGCTAATGGCCTATTACAATAAACATGCGGGTTGTTTTTGCAGCTTACTGAACACTAAACATGTTTGGTCTATATCATTTCTATGAAATTGTTTAAGTGACTATTCAGAGAATGGTTTGCCTAAAGTGATAGTTAAAAGGAAACCATTTGTGCATGGTATGTTTTACTATAGATATAATTTTCAGCACCCCATTTCAGTTAAGGCACAACATCTCACCCTTGAAAATGTAGGATTTAGTTGAGTTTTTTAATTCATTATACAGGAAAAAAGAAATATGAAATCTAGTCTGACAACAGCAACACAGTTGCTTTCAAAAAGATCGCCTAGAATTTGTATAAATGTAGAAAATTATACCCAGCAATTGCTACCTTCATTTTTTACAGTTTTATTTTCCCCATAAAAGTAAATAGCAGTAAACTACGTAGCTCAGACATCCTAAACATAGTATTTGGAGAAAGTATTTAGGGTACTTTGGCTATGCTTGTTGTGATTTACCTTTAGAAAGTAAATGTTCATACTCACTTTTTTTACTTTTTCATGGACTTCATGTATGCTTTCTAGATATCATAGATTTTGCCAGTTAAGTGCAATCAAATAGTGTAATACCCCTTTTATTAAAAACATAAATCCAAATATAAAAAAAAAATGAATGAAAGAATCCAGCAGATATTTATTAAGCAAGATGAAAGTGAAATTACAAACACAGGTCAGCTTTTAAACTCAGCACTCTGGTGGAGTGGAGGTGGCTGGTCCTTCATCACAGGCAGCCTGTAGGAGATGCAGGTTAGGAAGAGAGCTTTCGCTGCTTGAGAAATCAAAGCTCCTTCGAGGTGTCCTACTGGAGGCATCAAATAACAAGCTAAGTGACATCAGGGCTACACAAACAAAGAGGAAAGTTGACAACAATTCAGGGGCTTTGAGTAGTCAAGACAATTAGCTTAGTACTTCAGGTCAAAAATGCTACTATATATCAGCAATTAGCTGTAAAATGGCCTACAGCTGAAAAATTAATTATTCCTGTCTAGTCTCACAATTTCATGGAGATTAAAGATAATCTAAACAGATTAAGACCTTAATCTTTAATCCAGGTGAGTAATTTTGTTTGTAGTAAAAAACATAGGAATTAATTCCCAAAGTATTAAGTAAAAGGAAAAGCAATGAAAACCTTGTGTGGTCTTCAGGTGGCAAGGATAGTTGAACGAACGGCTTCTTGTTCCCAATTTACACGACATACTCATAAACATATGCAAAACCACTTAAATCTAAAAAAGGTCATCTGTAAAATTCTGACAATTAAATTTTACATCGACAGTTGAATTCCAAATACCTGCTAATAGGGACTCACAGGGCTGCATTGTGAAAACCTCCTCTCCCTCCCTCCACGCTCCCGTTTTTTGTCTTGTCTTGCTTTGTTCTTGGCTGTGCAAGTCTTTTCATGAAACAAGTGTAAGGCTCTAAGGCTAAAATAATAATTATTTTGAGGACCCCAAATAGCTGTTTTTGAAATTCTTTCTTCGGTATATCTCAAACTTGGGGGACATGTGGGTTGGACACTCTTAACCATGAAGCATTTGTAAAAATACAAGTCATTCACTTTTCACAGAACCATTTTCTTAAAAATAAGAGGCAATATCCAGATTCACATGCATGATCATAATAAAGCTTTGTTTTCAAACAACTCAAATCCACACAGCATTATTTTCAGCTTAATATTTTGGCCCCAAACTAAGAATTCGGGTATAACATTTAATTTTCATTTGTAACACGTATATTGGCAGGACAAAATACATACGCAAATAACACCAGGAAATAGTTTCCCATACAAGTGATTGAAAAAAACTAAAAGGAAAACCCACAGAACTGAGTTTGCTGTAATAAAATATGGTTCATTGTGACTGTGTAGAATTAGATTTATTGAAAAGTAGTTTTACTACAGAAGTAAAGAAGCAAGGTGTAAGCAACCCAGAAGAGGAGATCATATTTTCATTTTTATTTCCTTAATTGTAATTTAAATAATCATTCTCCATAATTTCTATTTCTAGAGCTTTCTTATCAGCTATCACGTAGGTAAGGAAATAACATTTCACCTTTAAAAAAACGGAATGACAGATTTCAGCCTAAGTGCAATGTACTCTGAGTTGGTAATTACAGCAGTGGGAGAGTAAGACACATTAAACTTAAAAGTGTTCACTCTTTGAACATTAAAATAAGTGGCAGGTAAATACAGAAAAATACATCATCACCAGTTCTCAGATTTTTATCAGTCCCTTTGTTTCTCTTCTAGATCATTCTACGAGCCTTACGTTGCTCTGATCAAAAGTAACCTCCCTACTCAAATACCATCATAGCTTCAGTGTGCGTTATGATTTCAGTAGATTTACACTCAAATCTTTTCAGTGCCATAAAGTTATTAAGTCATAAAGGTATTAAACCCTTAGCTCCTGTGGAGAGTTCTGGGCAAAATTTATACAAGAAATTTAATTTATCATTTTAAGATTATCTCATAATTGTGGTAACACTTTTTTAAAGTAACCCTTTGGAAAAATTCTATGTGATACCCAAAGGCACTATTTCACATAAGGGGTGTGGCTGGAAAAGCAAAACAAAGCCATCCTGTAGGTAAAGAGCACAAAAACGGATATTAAGAAGATAACCATTAAGCTTAAAGTTATTCTAAAAATGGCACTTTTTATGTTGGTACAAAATGAAAGTGCTTTAAGATGAAATTTTTATGCATTTTTTTAAAGCTGATCTTTAACCCCCTGAAAATAGGGGGTTATAATGAGAACACTGATAGACTCTAAATCATAGTGGCAATAAGCAGTGGATGTCGCTAAAATGCTTTGTGTGTCTTTAATTTTTAGTATTTTTAATGTTGATAAGACTTGCTTTATCTATCTGTGTATCATTAGTGAGATTTGCTCTTCAATTTTTCACTAGAAAGTTACAGCTCATTTAAAATAGCTGGTAGATACAGAAAGCATAAATATACAGTAAGTTTAAACACTGATTGTACTAAATGCAACAATACAAAGAAGCAAACAGAACACAAATGGTAACACAATAAAACTGTATTACATTTGTGCTTCAAATATTACAATACATTATGTACAATAGTCCAAAATAAACATCTCATGCCAAGTGACACAAAAACGAATAGCAAGCAAAAAAATCCAGCAATATGTACATTACTTTTTTCTTTAATAATAAACATTCAACTCTGAACTGGGGCAATTTCACTACATACAGATGCAGTCCGCCTTGAATTCCATATAACCCTCCTGCTTCCCTATATCTACGCTATTCAGTAGGTTCCTGTGTCAATTCTTATATACATGTGGAGCAAAAAAGATAAAAGAATGTAGTGCTTTGTATTCTTAATGGGGTGATGTTGATAGATCAGCGAACCTGGGGTGCATAACCTTCTTTCATTAAACCTTCCTCGTAGTCCGTCTGGCAAAGGATCATGTTATTCTTTAGGAAAAATTTGTCTCCAACACAAAATCTGAAAATATTAAGAAAAAAACTGTTAAGATCATTTCACTCGGACCTATAGATTTGAAGATTTATTTTCCTAATAATAATTTCACATGGTTAACTCCCTGAAGCTGAAAGCTTGGCTTAGAAAGCTGCCTTCATTATCAAAATTAAACCATTTAGTTCATTTAATGAAACACTGCACACAACATTTGAAATCCCACCTTTATATATAAAAATTGTAGGAACATCAAGGTAAAAACTTTGAGCAGTAAAGGTGATCTTTCTTTCCTTCTTTCTTTTCTTTCTTCCTCTCCTTCCTTCTTCTTTCTCTCTCTTTCTTTCTTAACACATTAGAAAGAAAAAAAGAATTGATCTATACTTATACTCATTAAAATAAAACAAGGAATGCTAATATTTTATTTCAGTGATTATAGGAGATTTAATCCTTGGCCATTTATCTACTTAATCAAGAAGTAAAAGACATTAAAATGAGCCAAACAATTAGAAAACAGCCCATTTTAAAGCTTTCCATTTAAATTTTCCTTTTACTCTGTTATTAAAATGTGATTAAATTCTATAATTTGGAAGTGATCATTCTCAAGTGAAAGGTGCTTTAGTCATATGCCTTTGTTTGTGGCAGGTTCACCAGCTATGAAGTAGTAGATGTCATTTCTTAGAGCACTTCCAATTAAACCAAAGGGAGTAACCTGAGTGAACTTAATATTGATGTGAAAAATAAAACTAGTTTCCAATAGCTAATTATGCATTTTATTTTATAAAGCATTGTTTAATGTGAAAGATTGTAATGTTTTTAATAAGTACTCTTTTGGTACAATTTCCCCATGGTGACACTTTGGACACAATTAAGGTCAGAAATAAATGCTTGTGCTGTTTCCGGTACATTTAACAATAAAGTAACTCTGGGGAGATCTGTATATATATTTAATTGTAACAATTTAACCTTCAAACAGTGGTGTCTGGTAGAGTTGACCCGGTAAAACTACTTGTAATTACACAAGCTGACCTCTCCGACCTCTGATAGTGGTCTTTCTTTATCAGATAGTCAATTTCGAATGATGTTCAAGCAGAAATCTTAGTGGATAGATTAAATTGTGTAGTGAAAGCCACCCTTGAATGTTTTGTGAAGTTGAAGGTTTAAATGAGGAGCAGTTGGACTGATTTACATTTGCAAAGATTGGAATGCTAGACAAACAGTGAACCTATTTATTTTCCAACTGGGTTGCTTTGGAAATTTATCCTTATACTAGCTAAGTAGATAGAGGGGAAAAAGTGTAATAAAAAAAGTAGATAGAAAAGAATTAGCTTTCCTCTTAAAGGAAAATTGGTCTGTTTATTTGTGGAATTTACTTTTTTTCCTCCAGGATTACTGCCTGCTGATGATGTTGATTGAAAGTACAGACTATGCACTATCTTGAAATCCTGCAGTTGTTTGTGGTCAAGGCTACTGGATACAATGAACATTCGAGTTTGGGGCTTTAAGTACATTTTCTTTTTATTAGCTGCAAACTGTACACTTTAAATGTTGTACTTAAAAACTAGTGTTTGAATACATCAATTTTTGTAGATATCCTGATCACTAAGATACGCTGAATAAAAAGAAATATTCTTCTTGTTAAACAGACCTAAGTAGCCAGATTAGATACTTATCTTTTATGTGAGATTATATAAAACAGCACATAGAATATGTTAAATTACTGTTCAAAATTATCAATTTTATATCACTATTGAAATTAATTTCAACTGAGTAATAAGCTAATAATAAAATACCACATCAAAAATAGATTCAATAAAACACACTCATGTTGTAGCTAATGTTCTGAGTCATTTTTTTCTGAAAACCAGCTAATCTGGAAATACTCTCTCAACTCCATATTGTCTAAAATTTNTAGCCAGATTAGATACTTATCTTTTATGTGAGATTATATAAAACAGCACATAGAATATGTTTAATTACTGTTCAAAATTATCAATTTTATATCACTATTGAAATTAATTTCAACTGAGTAATAAGCTAATAATAAAATACCGCATCAAAAATAGATTCAATAAAACACACTCATGTTGTAGCTAATGTTCTGAATCATTTTTTTTCTGAAAACCAGCTAATCTGGAAATACTCTCTCAACTCCATATTGTCTAAAATTTTGCTTTAATTTTTTATCAAGCCCCCAAATTTTATTAGCCATCAAAAAAAAACATGTTTTTTTTTTTTTTTGTCACGTTGTTATATCATGTCATTCTTACCTTTAGAGGTCTTAAAATTTGAAAACAATTATCTGTAGATTAATAAACTCAGGGTAATTATAGTGAGAAAAGCACCAAACCAAGAGCCTGGGGATCTCATCTTAAATCCTGCCTCTACCACCTACCCAATGAGAGACTTGGGCTACATCTCATGCTTTCCCCTGTCTCAGTTCCCTGTGTGCAAGGGACAAACAGCTCACGCTGCAATCAAGCAAGAGGTGTTTATTTCAGCATATGCTGGGTCGCTTTTTCATGTTTGTACAGAGGTTCCAATGAAAAGTGGCTGGAAGACGGAGAGGTATATGGCAATGAATAGGGTTCAAACCCCAGACTCCTTAGGCACTGAAGATGAAACTGAAGATGAATCTGCAGTTTTTAAATCTGTAGTATCATTCACTTTCATAGGTTTGTGACAAAGAGTAGAAATGAAATATGTAAAGTCTTACCTCAGTGTTTTGAGTACAGAGAAAATAACCTTCTTTTAGAAAGTACTTATGTGCTCATGCTAAGCATGTATTACATGATCACATTTATTCCTTACAACAGCCTAGAAGTATTATTATTGCCCTTTTCAGAAGAAAACCTAAGGATCCCTCCCAGAATTTAAAAAAACAGCCCAGGGTTCCAGAGTTAGAATGCTACATGGTAGAGGAAGGAAAGTAATCCAGGTGTCTTTGGATTCAAGCCCCATGCTTGCTTGGGTCAGTAAAGCATGTAGACTACAGTACGATGTGAAGATTGAAGTTACACAGGCTTTTGTATTGTTATTATTCCTTTGCATACGTGTTAAAAAGCCTGCCTGCCATTCAATGAGACGTTAGATATACACAGACATAGACACAGACACACATACACACAGACACAAGGGTACTTCGAAAAGTTCACGGAAAAATAAAATTGAAAGATCGTATGAATCTTTCCATAAACTTTGTGAAGTACCATATGTATATATATATATATATACAGAGAGAGAGAGAGAGAGAGAATATTTATCTAAAATATTCCTACCTGAAATATTTGTTAATAATATGTTGTCGACTGGATAAAGTACATTTCTGTGCATTTCAGTTTATACTTAAAGGTCAAGATGAAACAGAACATGGATGAGGAATGTCGCACTTGCATGTATAACTCAAACAAAACAGCCTTGAAAGCTGCAGTTAAGAGCAGATTATGATTGGTATGCAATTAAGATCGGTATCCTCCTTAAAAATGTTTCATATGTAAACATGAAGAAATTAAAGAAATAGCAACATAGATATTCAATGCTTAACGAAATTATCTGTAGTTGTGATTCTGCAAAAAAGGCTAATTTCCAATGTTATATAACCAGCTCTTTATGAGATTTAACATTTGCAGAAAAAAAAAAAAACCATAAAAGCTGTGATGGCCAGAAGATGTTGTAAGTATATTAACAGGTCAAGCTAAAATTCCTGAAAATAAACTGATAATCTTTCTTGTAATCTAATCCTAATTACTTATGGTATGATCAATTCAACTTTTGCCCTTATTTAAAAAATAAATAAATAAAGAATAAAAATATGCTCAGATTATTAAACTACTAATCTTGATGTTTTGGAATTAATAATATATTTAATTTCCAGATATTTTAGAGTGATTCATATGGTCTTAGAGACTTGAGAAGTTTAGGAAATAAGTATAATTAATAAATTATCTTTATAAAATCTAAGGCTTAGGATAGTTTTGAGCAGGTTATCAAAAAACCTACGCTAAGAAGCCTCCATTTGTAACATCCTTTTAAAGAAATGATAATGTTAACTTAGTCATCTTATTTCCCGAAGGTTAGTGACTGGCAATTATGATAATTTCTATTTCTACAACACTTTAAAAAGAAGGGAGATCCAATGCATATTT